AAATGCTACTTTCATCATGTAAAGTAATATGCCTAGGCACAGAGCTCCCACTGTCTAAGGCATCTTCAAAGAAATAAGCTCGGTCAGATTCAATTACCCTAGTAATGTGATTTGGACAATAGAATATGTACCCACGAGATTTGATGCAATAGCCAATAAAGAAACCATCAACAGTTTTAATATCAAGCTTCATCTATTGTGGATTGTAAGGTTTTACCTGTGCTTTACAACCCCAAACTCGCATATGTTTTAGTGCAGGAGCCCTTCTAAAATATAACTCATATGGAGTCTTTGGAACTGACTTGCTAGGAACTTGATTCAAAATGTAAACAGCAGTTTTAAGTGCATTACCCCACAAGAATTCCGGCAGTGAAGAGTGACTGATCATGCTTCTAACCATTTTCATGGGAGTATGATTTCGCCTTTCTGCAACCCCATTTTGTTGTGGGGTCCCAGGCATAGTATACTGAGTTTCAATGCCATGCTCTTGAAGGTACAAAGCAAATGGCCCAGGGTTCTTGCCAGTCTCAGTATATCTCTCATAAAATTCTCCTCCTCTATCAGATCTCACACACTTGATCAACTTGCCAAATTTTAATTCGACTGTTGCTTTAAAGGTCTTGAATGCATTAAGGGACTCACCCTTTTCACGCAAGAGTTCAATCCATCCATGATGAGAGTAATCATCTGTGAAGGTGATGAAATATTTGAAACCACCTATAGCCGGAGGTATGATAGGTCCACAGATATCAGTATGGATTAGGTCTAAAGTGTTTTCAGACCTCTTTGCCCCTTTGGTTCTAGCTCTAGCAGGGAATTTTCCCTTTATGCAGTCAACACAAGTCTCAAAATCTGAGAAATCAAGGTCTTGTAAGACACCTTACTTGGTCATGCGCTCCAATCTCTCTCTAGAGATATGACCTAAACGATGATGCCATAACATAGAGAAATTATCATTGGGCCTTTGACGTTTATGCCCAATAGCAGCATTGATATGGAGATTAGGAGGTTCAAGTGACCAATCATTCAACCGATATAAACCATATATCAAGGAAGTAAGATCAACATTAATGGAATCAAAACAAATGTCAATTTTTCCTTTTCCTTGGAAGAATGAATAGCCACAAATATTCAATGCAGAAGTTGAAATTAAATTCCTCTTCGTAGAAGGTACATAAACAACATTGTTCAAATGTAAAATATGACCAGAATTTAAATACAAAGAAACAGTTCCAATGCATTCAACTGATGCCTTGCTCCTTGCTATGCCAAAGACTGACCTCTGTGCCTCAATTGAAACCTTTTGGTTTCTTAGCCCCTGTAGAGATTCACAACATGTATAGTGGTACCAGAATCCAGCCACCATGAGTCAAAGGAAGTTTCAATGGTGTTAGATTTAAAACAAACTAGATCTAGAGGGGCAGTTTGAAGAGTTGTACCTTCACTTTCTTGTTTGTTCTTCAATTTGAAGCAATTAGCTTTAATATGACCTGATTTCTTGCAATAATTACATAACCCTTTAAAGGGTTTCTTCCTTGACTTTTCATTCTTATCACCATCCTTCTTAAAGGTTGGATTATTAGGCTTTGGGGCATCATGTTTCTTCTCCTTTTTCTTATATGACCCTCCAGATTTGCTGCTAGAGCCATGAGAAACATAGTTTATTGAGTAAGAGGAATTCTTCTTTATAGCTTCCTCTTCTTAAGTGACTATCGATATCATCTGGTCAACAGACCATTCAACTTCTTGTGAGTTGTATGAAGTCTTCAAGAATGCGTACTCTAATGACAGTGATTGAAGAACACGGTAAACCAAGGTATTTTCACCCAAATCAATCCCATATGACTTAAGCTTGTTGTAGTAATGAACAAGCTTCAGAATGTGCTCCCTGACACCAGAAACTCCGTCATATCGAGTATCGTCAAGAAGTGACAGATAGTAGTTCTTTTGAGTCTTGTTAAGCTTCTTGTATTCGTTACCAGTAGCTTTCAAGTACTCTACTGCAATATCCTTTTCAAGAATGCTGTCCCTAATTCCCTTTTCAATTGTGTACTTGATGATCGCTAGACAGATTTAGTTGGACTCACTCCATTGTTTATGGAAGGCTATTTCAGAAGCAGTGGACTCGGAAGAGAGATCTGCAGGCTTGGGTTCTCTTAGAGCTAAATCTTTCTCAGAAATAGTCAGATACATAGTCAGGGACTCTTTCCAATCATCATAATTAGTCCCATTGAGAGCCTTCACAAAGGATAGTTGCGTAAAAGCAGAAACTGAATCACAAAACAGAAAATGGGAAATATTAATTATGCGTGCACAACATAATTATAAAACAAAATTCCCCAACAAGCGATTATCCATTATGAAACTATAATCATGCATCAAGAAGGCTCATATACCATAAAAAATTTAGCTCATACAAAAATCCATACAAAATAATGTATTAAATATTTTCATACCTATAGGGTACAACAAATATCTAACACATTAAAGGAGTGCTATTAGCCTATCCTCAAAGCCAACCATTAAAATCACATTAATAATGTCACACCTATGGGGTATATCCATTATCAATGCTACAAGATCCTAAGCATCATCAATAATTCACAAAGTCACAAATTTTATGACCTTAGAACAAAACAAAATAATTTTAAAAAGGTCCTTAGGGTCTTTTGAGAATTAGAAAATAAATTTAGGATTTAAGTGAAATTTTGAAAGGTAATCAAGGGCAAATGAGTAATTTTGGAAGAGATTTGGGTCAAAATGGCAATTCTAGAAGTTAAGGGACTGAACTGTAATTTGTAGAAGTATCCTGGGGTCACAGTGTAAATTCAATAATTTATGGGCCAAAGGAGGTAATTTAAACTGAGGTCGAAACGCAATTATCAATCTTTTTTTTTTTTTGCTGTAATGTGCTGCAGTGCTGGGCCCAGTACCAGTCCAAAAAAAAGGGAGTAGCCCACTAGAAATGATTTTTTTTGCAACCAGATCTGGGCCTGTACGAAAATGGGCCCAGGATTTGTGTAACCGGATCCTAGACCCTCATCCTGGGTCTTCTCAGCCATAAGCTAGAAATTCAGGGAAAGAAGGGGAGTGCCGGCGTGCAGCGGTTGCCGGACGCCGGCGAACCAAAAGCAACCAGTTTTCAGGATGCTGGCACTTCCACAGCGATGGGAATGTGAGCCTAATCCAACGAATCTGCAGCTTTCCGACGATGCAAAACCACGTTGACCTGCACGAGACGATGCTTGGCCAAGAGACGATGCCGTTGCTAGCCATGGACTTTGCTGAACCATGTCTCTCTCTACCAGCCTCGCGTTGTGCAGCTTCTTGGCCAGTTCTGAGGAGAAGACGCCGGTGAACGTGGAGACGTAACTTCGTCCGTTGACACGTGAAAGAGGAGGAAGAGGAGGGTCGTGCAAAATTAAAGAATATATATATATAGAGAGAGAGAGAGTCAAATATACCTATATTTAATCGGAATTCTAATGATCTTACATTCACTTTCAATGATAAGGATTTCAATGATAAAGATAGACTGAAGAATTATCAAATGTGAGAATTATCATATTCACTTTCATTAACACACATATAGAATAATGAATTGAGATATATAAATTAATGTTTGTAACCAAAGCTCTGATGTCACATGTTAAATTTGTATATCTCTATTCATATATAACTGAATATGATAGAATAAAGTAATTCATGCGTACTTGAAGAATTCATGAGTGCTAGAGAAATCTCGATTATCTCGAGTATAGGCAGGTACACAACCCACAGTTCCACTGAGCCTTCAGAGAGTTTAGAGATAATGGAAGTAGAAGAATGAGTCGTGTGTTTGCAGTTATCGACTGATCGATTTATATAGATCAGATATGTAATCGTCTTATCAAATAATTAATAATTATATTATCTATTATCTCTGACTCAGTCAGTTAAAAGATAGTAAATAACTGATGGCTACTAGGTTGTGGGTTGGGCCTCTGCCTATTAGGCTCACTTATGTGGTCCACCTATCACGGTCCACACAAGATCATAAAGACCAAAATATTGAGCCTATTAATTAATGCTAATTCATAAATAATATTCCAACAATCTAGGTATTGTATGGCTAAGCATATAGCAAGTAAGAAAGTGATTAGGAAGCTGAATACGTTTAAAACTGTACATATGAAGATGCGATCTGTTGTTTGGAAATTAAACAGACCATACGCGGAGAGCCAGTTCTGATGCCTTGGCAACTCAGGAGGCTTTATGGACAAGGAAATTAAAAGTTTCATAGATCCTGTGTGCCCTATTTGTAGATATAGGAGGAAGTAAATAAAGCATTTGTTACTGATATGTGTCAACAAGCCAAGGCTACTTGGTTTGGCTACCCTTTGATAATCGTGATTCATGATTTGTATGGCTAGTGCCCAGAGCTTCCGGTGCATAGGAAATATATAGCATTGTACAAATGTGTGAAGCTTTTGCTCTGAGGAAAGTGTGGGGTTGGCTTTTGAATTTTAGGGAAGAAGTATTTGCCAGTGGCAGGAGCTGTTTAAAGCTGTGCAATATAGGATTATGGCCATGGTGACTGGCTGATGCCATACTAGGGTAACAAGTGCTATAGATTATTTTAGCAGCGACGGTCATGAATGACATGTTCTTTTGGAATGGTCTTTACTCTTTAGATCATTACTGCCGTCTTATTATATATGTAGGCTTTTAGATATATAATGTTTATATAAGGTTACATGTGTCTTTATGTTTAATCAGTTAAGTGTGTGTATGCTTATACATGCAGATGCTGAGGGCTATATATATCCAGCCCATACCTTGTAAAACTAACTCTTTGGTTCTAATAGATTTTTTTATTCTTTCATGGATTGTGGGTATCAGTGCTTCACGTAGTGCCAGTGTGAGGGTGTAATATCCTTGGGCCCATAATGCCAATAGCATACACCTTTTGTTTGAAGCTTTATTCAAAGGCCTTAGGCTTGGCTTCACTTTTTTATCTTCAAGGCCGAACAAAAACGTTTTCATCAGTTAATCAAGAAATGGCATCGTAAAAAAAAACAAGAAAACAAAAATCAAGACAGCTTCTTGAGTTTACTTTCTTCATCGAACACAATGTAAAGTGTCTCAATCCAAAACCATCGTGTGTTGATGCCCTGGCCTCTTTCTCTTTGTGTGTATTTCCATCTGTCTCCTTGCAAATCACTATCAATCCCAGTTCAAAATTTGTCCTCAATTCGCCAATCATTCTCAATTCTCCACATCAGTGAAAAATTGTAGCCCAAGTTTAAGCCTCCGTTGAAATGCCCCATGAAGAGAAAGATTCCTCCTTGTCTTCTATTTTGATTGATTTCAACCAGCCACTTTACCTTCACCCTTCTGATGCACAAATCTCCACCTTGGTCTCATAAATCTTGACTGGTTCCAACAATTACACGGTTTGAAATGGGGCCATTTGTCTTGCTATCCTTAGAAAGAATAAACTAGGATTGCTTGATGGCACCTGCATCAGAGAGTCCCAAGCTGCGTGACCAATGGGACCAGTGCAATGCCATGGTGATTTCTTAGCTCTCGGTAGATAAGCAAATAGCCAACGAGATTGTTTTTTCTGAGAATGCTCATCTTATTTGGATCATTTTGCAAAATTGATGGTACACGGATTTACCCTCTGCACAAGGCTCTATCTTCCTGCACCCACTGATCACTTAGTGTTTCTAGCTATTATACAAAATTAAAGGAGATGTGGGACGAACAGAGTCTGCTAGTACCACTTCCATCTTGTCAATGTGCCACATCCAAGGAGTATGTTACCATTACCTGAACAACAGCCTCCATGTGTGATTTTCTTGGCGCACTCAGGAACTGACTTAGGTTCTGCACAATAAAGCTTGAAGCAGGCCTAGTGGTAGTTGGGTAAGATAAGCTCCCTACCAATTTCCTGTATGAACTTGAGTTCTGTAGTAATGGATCCTCCTTTTTCTTTCTTTCTTCTTTTTCTTGCTCTTGGGAGTGACTTTGCCTTCTGCACATAATCACTAACTTTGTTCTATTGGGACACTTAGTGGCTTTGCTCCACTAAGACCCATGTGAGATATTAAATCCAATGCATATTTTCTTTGAGTGAGAACAATACATTTGACCTGGCTAGTTTAATCCTTAAGAAATACTTCAAATCACTTAGGTCCTTTATTTTAAACATGTAATGTAGATGTTGTTTAATGGCATTTATATGCTGCGTATTATTTCCAGTGACAACCACATTATCAACATAAGCCAAAATAAGAGTTATATTAGATTTATTTTGTTTAATAAACAAAGAGTAGTCATATCCACTTTGCCTAAACCCTCTTGGATTAAAACTTCAGTAAGTTTTGCATTCCATTGCCTTGATGCTTATTTGAGGTCATACAAAGATTTGGTCAATTTGGCATCTTTATTAGTTCCCATACGATCAAATCCTTGTGAGATATTCATATAAACCTTTTCATGCAAGTCTTCTTGCAAGAAGGTGTTGTGAACGTCCATTTGAAAAAGAGGCCAATTATTAATTGCAACAAGGGCAAGTACAGTTCTTACTACAACCATTTTTACAATGGAAGAAAAGGTTTCAAAATAATCAATTCCCTCTTGTTGGCTATAGTCCTTGGCTACCAACCTAGCTTTACAACGTTTTAAGCTACCATCAACCTTATATTTCTTTTTATAGACCCACCTACATCCTATGGGTTTCTTACCTTTAAGCAGGTTTCCCAGGTTTTGTTGTCTTCCAAAGCCCTCATTTCAGCATTCATGGCATCAATCCATCTAGAATCCTTAATGGCTTCCTCATAACTACATGGCTTAGGGAAATCATCAATTTTCAATCGATACTGTTTATAATCTAGAGAAATATTGACATATGACACATACATATGAAGGGGATAATGACATTTTACCTCTTTACCTTGTTGATTTGTTGTTCCATGACAGATGTAGTCATTTAGCCAAGATGGAGGTCTTCTTTCACGCCCTGAAGGTGGCTGTAGTAGGTGTTCTATATCTATTTTAGTTTGATTTCCTTCATCTTCATTTTCCAGATTGATGTCAGGAGAGAAAACTGGCTGTTCTGGTATGCCGTTAGGGATATCAATGGTTGGTTATCTAACTACAATTGTTGGCTCATTCTCATATAAAAAAGGGTCAAGCATAGTAGATGGAATAGATGGGTTTTTTATTGGAATATGAAATAATTAATTATTTAAATGGAAATTTCTTTTCCATAAAAGAGACATGTCTAATCACAAAAATATTCTTTGTTTTAAGATTATATAGAATAAACCCCTTTTGATTGGGTGGATACCCATACACCATGAAAATACATGGCTTAGAGCTGGATGAGAACTTATCATGAGTTTGCAAAACAGTAGCAAAAGCCAAGCAACCAAATGCTTTAATTGAAGTCAAATCAAGTGGCTTATTATAGAGTTTTGTATTTCAGAATTTTTACCTATTTATTAAAAAAGTAGCAATTTTCACACTTTCACCCTAAAATCTCAAAGGAAAGTTAGAATGAAACATTAAACTTCTGACAATCTTAAGCAAGTGCTTATGTTTCCTTTCCACCACCCCATTTTGTTGAGGTTTGTAAGGACAAGAAGTTTCATGAATAATACCTCTTTCATTCAACAATTGTTTTACTTCGTTATTTTAAAATTCAAGCCCATTATCAACTTCTTAAAGGACATCCAAGATTGGGAATTATTTTTTCTGCAACAAAAGAAAATCACTTGGAATGTTATGTTTATTCAGACTGGGGTACTTGGGATACATGAAGATCAGTGACAGTTTATATTGTCAAATTTGTTAGGTAATTAGTGTCCAGTCCAAGAAGCATAATACCATCTCTTGGTCATCTTAGAAGTAGAGTACAGGGCTCTTGGATTAGCAGTTTTAGAAGTTGTTTGGCTGTTCAGAATGTTAAAAGACGTAGGTCTTAAGGATATAGATCCTGTAGATGTGTTTTGTGTTAATAAGGCTGCAACTTATATTGCAAGCAATCTAATTTTTATTAGAGAACTAAGTGCATTGAAATAGATTGCCATGTCAAAGAAAAATTGCAAGGTGTAATAAATTTACAGCGTGTAAGATCTAGAGATGGCAGATGTACTCACTGAATCTCTAGGTATAGATGATCATACGAGGCTGATACGCAAGTTAGGCACCAAAATTTGTATGGCCCCCAACGTGAAGGGGGCTGGTAGATATATAATGTTTATATAGGGTTGCATGTGTCTATATGTTTAGTCAGTTAAATGTGTGTATGCTCGTATATGCAGAGGCTGAAGGATATATATATATCCAGCCCATAACTTGTAAAAAAACTGACTCTTTGGTTCTAATAGTTTTTTTATTCTTTCATGGATTGTGGGTATCAGTTCTTCACATAAGTCATGGTAGTTTTTGGTCTGGCATTTCTTTGTTGATTTGGTCACTTTCCTTTATGCTTGGAGACTAATTCAGTTTTGATGTAGCTGGGGAGATTGGAATGGAAAACTAATTATGGGATTGTAGGATATGCTATTTTGGTAAATTCCAAATTAGAATAAACATTAAATTCTATATGTTCTATTTCTTTGCCTATCCTACTATCTCAATTCAACTCTTTGGTAAGTGAATACGAATAATTTCCCAAATTTTAGAGAGTAGTTGTGCAGGATATTTCTTAGAAAATTAAATATTTTGATGGAGACTCCTTCTCCTTAAAATTCAATTCAATGGAATTGTTACATATTTATTATCAAAATTATGAATAAATTATAAAATTCGTCTGTCTTATTAATTAAAAATATAAAACTAAATTTTGGGTTTCTGTTACTGTGAAATTATATTTAAAAAACAATGTGATTTTTTATTATATATGTAGACTATATTCTTGAAATATATTAATAAATATTTTTTCCCGAATATAAACTCTTAAATATATAATACCTCTGTTAAAGGAGGTTATTATTATTATTATTTTTTTGTTTTCACTATCTTGAGGCAAATAATCTTTAATTCTTTATTTTCATCTCCTTATGCTTACCCAAAAACAGTTTATGGCATGATTCTTGTATGTGACGTGATATATTAAATAATAATTTTTCTTAGTCCTGAAAAAATATACAAAACTAATTTTTCTCATGCCGGCCATGTCTTTTTGGGCCAAAGTTCAAACCATGTAACAGGATATTCCCTTGCAAAGTTCAAACTTCGAAGTGCTGGGCTTCCGCCTTAAGGTACTTCTTGTTATTTCCTGCAGTCTTGCTGGATGGGCTGCTTCTAGAAATGTTGATCCCAAATCCGCAAACATTTCTAAATAATTGTTTGCTGGAGCCTGGAGGATCGCAGTAGGGAGTCGTAGGAGGAATGGCCGGGAACATCGTCGTGGTTTTTGACTTTGATCGCACGATAATCGACGATGACAGTGACAGATGGGTCGTGAAAGAGATGGGCCTCACGCAGATTTTCAACGAGCTTCGCTCTACCTTGCCTTGGACACCTCTAATGGTTTGTACCTACTCCCCCCGTTTCAATTCGTCGTTTAAATAAGGATCCAAGTTTCACGTACGAGTGAGAAATATACTTATAATTTTAGTCCTTCTTTACCGCAAAATGTTGGAAGAAATTAAATGTCAGAGAGGGATTCTTGTTGCAGCCTATGAATAAAGTCCCACGTTTCAGTTTTCATGTTGAGTTTTTCTATAATTTTCAGCTTAATTGTTTATTAACCTGAATCACGTTTAAACGAACTCAAAGTCTTACCATATACTCCCTCGGCTCCTACTTATATTCTAGGAAGTTTATTTGGTTTCGTTCATGAGTTACCATGTGACTTTTTAAATTCCCTTTTATGATAAAAGAAAAAGTAACATTATATCACTTTTTAAATTTATTATATAGGGATATATTTGGAGTTCTATATATTTTTATTCCTTTTGTATCGGTATTGACGATGTTGTAAAAATGACTTGCAAAGAGAATAGTATTTGGATTTTGAAATTGGATCATCTTTATATTTATTCAATTGCTTCTTTGATATTTAAAACGTCTAATCCGATAGGATACGATGATGAAAGAGCTCCACTCGCAAGGGATTAGGACGAAGGACATTGCAGAGTGCCTGAAAAAGGTCTTATTGCATCCAAGCATCATTGCAGCTATAAAATCAGCCCATGCTCTAGGGTTAACTTCTTGATCATAGTCATTGGCCCTTGATTTCGCCTTTGTTTTAATCATTGTGATATTTGACTCAACTATTATGTTGCGAATCTGTTCATTTCAGATGTGACTTGTGGATAATTAGTGATGCTAATATGTTTTTCATTGAGACAATATTGGAACATCATGGTATATTAGGATGCTTTTCGCAAGTCAATACAAACCCAACTCATGTGGATGAAGAAGGACGTCTTCATATCATTCCATTCCATAATTCAAGCATGGCTCCTCATAATTGCCATCTCTGCCCTTCAAATATGTGCAAGGTATTACTTAAGCATCATTGTTCTTCACCATTCTGCCTTGTTGCATATGTAAACTTCTGCCTCTGAGAAGAAATTGCGCTGTGTCTCAGCAGTCAACTGTTTTGGTGGAATGGTTTCTTGTCCCATAAGAGCTAGAAGTTTATGGAGTAGATGTAGTATAAATATAGGTTCAACTAACTTATTTTTCATTGGAATTGGTTTCTGGTTCAAATTTTCTCTCATAAGCACAATCAGTAATCAATAGAAAGGTTATCCAACATTTGAAATAATCAATTACGTACTTTTACATATGGAAGATGTCAATTGTCACGACTTCTATACGTGGAACCAGATTGATTCGTAAATTTCCTGTATTGTGAGAGGGACTGTTTGCATGGTGAAATTGTGTGACAGTTGTAAACTTTTTCTTCTTCCCTCCATTTTTTTAAGAGAAAATTATCTGTGCAAAACTAGTAGGTCGTATGGTCAAATCTTTCTGTTTTCCTCGTTCAGTGAGGGAAACAGCAGTGACTAGCTGGCATTTGAAAGTAGGTGTTGTTGATCTGATTTGCAGCCTTTGGCTTAGCAGTTTTGGTTGGTTAGTGATAAAATTTGTCTTAGTTGCTGCATCCTTACAAAATTGTTAAAGCCGAAGACTGATTTCACTTCTGTTGCTTTCTGGTTAAATCCATTGCCATTTGGCTCTTATGTGATTTTCATCACAGGGTTTAGTGATTGACAAAATCCGAGGTTCTTTACCTGAGAAAAAGAGGAGATTGATCTACGTTGGAGATGGAACAGGTGATTATTGCCCAACATTGAGGCTGGAGGGAGGTGATTTTGTGATGCCAAGGAGGAAGTATCCTCTGTGGAATCGGATTTTCAGTAACAGAGAACAAGTTAACGCGCAAGTTCATGAGTGGAGCAGTGGGGAGGAGTTAGAGGGCGTCCTATCGAGCCTTATCAAGAAATTAGCAGTAGACGATGCTGTTCGCGATTCTTGTTTGGTGTACTCATCTGAGTGCGTTGAGAGTGCTCAGTTCTTGAGTCAAGATGCATTCTCTCAGACTCTTCATGTTCCCATCTAGCAATTTTAAGATTCATCCTTGTTAGATGAAGGCTGTTTAGCACTTCTAACAGGATATACTAAGAACTTCTAGATAATCCCCCCTTTTTCCTCCCTCTGTAGTGCTTTCACTTGAGAATGGAGCATTGGCAGGCCATTTAAACAATTATGGTAATATTAAAAATCATAAAAGGTATATAAGATGTGGTGCATGCATTGTTATTCTTGGGGGTGGCCTGTTCTGTAGCAATACAATGAAAATGAATTCAAGCATGGCGTTGTGCAGCCATTATTCTATGATGAGGTCTGCTGCTTTCAGATGGGAATGGGCATGGCAGAGTAGACCTCAGCATGAGCTGGCCGATGCAAGGGACGCCTACTTCTACGACGCTCTTCAACTCCGCGCGTTTTTCTTCCTTCCTCAGCCAAGCATATTGTAGAAAAGTACAGCTGCCAAGGACACATACTTTAATGCTATCTTTAGATGCATAAGGATTTAAATTTGAATTTAAGTCAAATCTATTATTTAGGTAATTAAAAATGTACTTATTTGAATTTAAATTCAAAATCTCAGTTTTACTTCAATCTTTATATAATTTAAAATCTTTTTTAAACTTTTACTATTTGAAATTCTATCTCAATTTTTTTGTAATTTGACTAGGCCATTGGCAGCATCGAACAGGATTATATTACCAGCGGTGATCAGGATCAGACCACCATCATTGATTGGGATCAGATGATTGAATTTTATTGGGATCGAACTGTCGGTATCAACTAGGAGTAGACGGCTAACTTCCATCAAGATTGGATTGTCGGTGCCAACTGAGACTAGAGTGTTGACATTGACCAGGACAAGACCATTGGCGCCAACCATGACAAGACTAACGGTGTTAGCTAGGACTGAACAGTCACTTGCAAGCAAGATTGAAGGGATGGATCTCACCGTGATCGAGACCAACAACTTTGATGGGGAAAGGACTTCAGGTGTCGGCCAAGATCGAATGATCGACTTCTATCGAGACTGGATTGCTCGACGTTGATCGAGGTCAGAGTGCGGAAGACTTAGATTGGATGGTTGACTTTCACTGAAATTGAACTACCTGCGTTGATTGTGGCCAAAATACGGGTGAAGGTTGGGATCAAACAACTGACTTCTATCAAAATTGGACCGCCAACCTACACCAATCCTGATCCCAGTCTTGATCAGCAGTCTTGTCTCGATCTTCCCCTGTAATTTGGTCTTAGTTTGCATTGCAGTCCTATCTCAATTAGCGCTGACAGTTAGACCTCGATCAATGCCAACAATCCAATCCCAATGGAAGTCTGCTGTTTGGTAGCAATTGTCACTAGTTGTACAATCTCGGTGGAAGTCTATTGTTCGATCCAAGTATGCATTGGTGGAAGTCGGCTGTTTGAAGGGCCAACTTTGACTAGAGCTTAATTGTCGACACTGTTCGAGTTGCTTATAATTCAAACATAGAATTTAAAATTTAAAATTTTATTTAAAATTCAAACAAAAGATTTTAATATTATAATTTAAAATTTTTTATATTATCTAAATAAAGAATTTAAAATCTATAAACTTTAAATGTGAAATTTTAAATATGAGATTTCAAACTCAAATTCCTAACCCAAATTCACCCATCAAAATTCAAATTTCCAACCCAAATTTTCCTATCTAAACACAACCTAGAATTATGTGATGGATATGTATATTACATGAAATTTGAGAAGTGAATTATGTCATTCATATTTTATTGAATTGTTTGGCAAACTATTAATTTTATATATTGTATTGATTAATTGTACTTCATTCCTTTGTTTTCAGTTTTCACTACAAATAAAAAGTGATCGTGATCTTAAGCAAAAAGTGTGTAAAGCTATGTTTTTTTTTCCCCACATTTTATTACTTGTCGTGGATGAATACTTGATAGTAGAAGATTAGTGTGAATATTCGTTAATCAAATATAAAATATAGAATGTTATGGGAGCTGCATGATTCATAGAGCTGTAGGTCTCATTTCATGCTTTGCATAAAACATGTGAAGGTTAGTTGAATTGTGACACATAAAAAACATTAGTGTGGTAGTCAATGCCTAGGGTTGCCTAAAAAAAACGTAAAATTAATTTTTCAAAATAATCATATTTATTCTTTGCAGAAACTTTTTGTTCTAAAAGGTAAGTCCTCATCAAATAGTGACTTTTTTAATTAATACAGTTAGACATGAGTGGGCTTGAGGGCCAACACAATTGGCCCGTTCAAGTGTGACCATCTTTTGGGTGTATCACTATGACTAGAGGGTTACTTTTTTTTTTTTTTAAGCGAAATAGTAGCCAATTTTATTAATAACAGAAAAAAATATTACACTCACTAAAAGACTGGGAAAGAAATAAAAGCCTAAAATACAACCTACAAACAGAAAACAAAGCGACAATAACAAAAAGGAAAACAAACAGTCAACAAACAAAACAAATCAAAAAAATCAGCCAGTACCAATTCTATCACCTAAAGCAGAATTCAAATTACATAAGTCCTCCAGCAATACAGTCAATAGAGAGGATGGTGGCTTAACAAGCCATCCATTAGGAACCATATCCCTAATGGAAGGAGTTGCTAAACTGTCCGCAGCTTTATTACCCTTACGAGCAACCAAGGACAAAGAAGCCTCGCTGCAGGACCTCCACAATTAAAAACAATTCTACAAAATGTCCACACAACCCTATTCACATCCATTCAAATCAAAAGAATTCAATCTTCGAAATAAATCCAAACAACCAGTTTCAAAAATCAAACCCTTTCCTCCAGAACCACTACATACCTCCAAAGCCTTTTGCAAACCAACACATTCAACCATAAAAGGGGAATTAGCAGCAACTTGACAGGACATGCCACCAACAAACAACCCTTCACATTCCTAACAACTATATCAACAATAGCTTTCATACTTTCTGGACAAAAAGCAGCATCCACATTAACCTTGATTTTGACCAAACCTGGAGGAATCCACTTCTTAGCCCTTTTTGGCTTTTTAACAGACATGTTGCCATTCTTACTACACACTTCAACCTTACAGAATTCATTAGCAAGTCTAATAGCATGAGATAGGCAACCCACAGCATCCACATCCTTATGCTCAAACACGAACTTACACCTGACTTTCCAAATCTCCTAATGTATACTGGCAAACAAAGCTACATCATAATTCTCCACCCCATTTTTGCTTACCAACCACTCCTCCAACCATTTATCAAACCTGTTCATACCCAATTCATCAAATTTCAAGCCCAAAGGTGAACCAAACCAACACCCTCTAACCCAAGGGCCAAGAAACAGCATGTGCTCCATATTTTCAACTTAAGTCTTACAAATTTCACAACTAGGTCTACTTGCTCACTACCTCTTGTATAATGCTTCATTAGTAGCAAGCACATTATTAACAACATGCCAAGTAAAATGATTCACCTTTGGTGGCAACTTGATCTTCCAAATTCCCTTCCACAACAAATTAGAAACTGAGAAGGATCCACCTGCAACATCCTTTTCAACTTTCTCCAATTTTTCACAAGCCACCCTATACCCCGCTAAAGGGTTATTTAATTTTAAGAACTCTTCATTTTTTTCTTAAAAGAAATGGATGTTATAATTTATTATGATTTTCACAATAAAGTTGAAGGAGTTAATCTTTGATTTGTTCATAATTTGGAGAAGCTTATTAAATCTCCAAAATACTTGAAATATCAGTGTATTTGCTGAAAAACAGTTTAAACTTCAATCCTTTAGGAAGTATTTGTAGATTTTTTATCTATTGATAGACATCAAATTCAACAAGAATATCTTTGGCTAGTAAATCACTTCTAGGAGTTTTGTCCAAACAATATATCTAGGAAAAAATATCGATTTTTCTTTTGGTAATAAGATTTATTTTGAAGGGTCTTCTATTAATATTGGTGAAATATTTATTATGCAGAATCCATTCTTCTTCAGAAGTATATAAGGCTTCATGACACTTCTGCAGGAACCAATGTCAATTAAGGCAATAGCTAAAATGAGTTTATCATATTTGTTGGGCAAGATTTGGACTTGCTAAGGAATTTCAAACTACTAAGAGAATTGACTACAAGTATCAGCCCAATAATATACATAAACGAATACTGTTCATGATGTGGAGAATCAGAGCTTTCTTCTGATATAGGAAGGGTATATTGTATGCCCTCATCTTGCTCAGATCATTCTTTAAGAACATATTCAATGTCTACATTTTTATGAAGATAAACAACAATTTCAAAGGATTGATATAATTTCATGTCTTTTTTGCACTTATTAGAATATTTATTAACATAATATCCCTTTTGTCGACATGAGAAAACATTGATTTGACTTTTTTTTTTATTACTTTGGGGATCTTCTTTTAAAAAGCTGCCAAGGCTTCTTCTTTCTATAAATAGATTTATTCTCTCTACACCCGTATTTGTAAAAATCAGGAACTATGATGAGGGTTACGCTTCTATTACTAATAGTAGTTAATAGAGTTCTTGAGCCTCTCAAATAAAAAATAAATGAAATAATATGTTCAATGAGTTTTTTTTAACACTCTTGATAAATGAATCAATCAGCTTTTTATTTTAAGGTGAGACGCCTTATCAAATAAGAATAAATATAAAAAAAATGATATAAATTTAAAGGTCATTAACTAACTTATTGAGAAATGCTATTAAGTTAAAAATGTATTATATTTTTAAATGAAGAGAGTATAATGATTGCATTGTATCTTATTGGAGTGAACTGTCCCAAATTATTTAATTACTAATTGTTGGTATGTCTTTAATTTGTATGAAATTAAAAAAAATAGGTGATATTATTTATAACTTATAAATTATTAATTTTAAACATGTTTATATGTAATTTATTACGTAAAATATTATTTTTTGATTTCATATATCATATCCAAAAATGAATTTTTTATTCATGGGTTGGGGTGTTCATGGGACGAGATAAAACTAGGACACCCCTATCCCATCCAAAAAAAAAAAAATCAGGACTGAATTTTTATCCCATGTCCTGTTTTATATCGAGAGTCATTCAGTTCGGTTAAAAATCATGCCAGGATCAAGACGTCTCGCCGTCTCGATAAATCAAAAAATGTAGAAGAAAGATCTAGATAATAACATTTATTAAATTTTTAAATCATAATTTATTAAGTTTAAAATTAAAACATCAAAAGTACATAAATCACAATAATTTAAAGTTAAATACAATATCAAATCATTAATCACAACTACACATTATGATAGTAATTACAAGTGATCTCTAAGCTATAAGAGCAGCAACAATAGGTCAATCAAATACAATATCAAATCATTATTCTTCTATTTTAGTTGAAATGTACTAAGCTAATTACTCTTTAAAAATAAAGCAAAAAATACAATATAAATAAAAGTTATTAAATAGATAGATATAAAAATAAATTATATTAATATAATTAATGTATTATAAAAAAAAGATATGGCATTGTTTACCTTAAAATTATTAATATAAAAAATTTTAGTTTTAAATAAAAATTACACATATTGAAATTATAATTAATATAATTAATATAAATATAAATTATATTAATATAATTAATATATTTAATGTATCTTTTTAAAATAAAAAATAATACATATATAATATTTAGGATGGGACGTTCCGCTGATAATTTCATATCTTGTCTCGTCCTAAACCTTTTTTTTATCCCATCTTACAAAATCTCATCCCAGTTATTTTTGGGTCGGGCTTGTATGATCAAGACAATATTAGATCAATTGAAATGGTTACAAACTGAAGACCATGGAATGAGATGTAAGAAATATAAAAGTTGTTATGAATTGAAAAAAATTTTAAAAATCTTGTTACACCCACGCACATATTGATATGAGCATACGTTGATAAGCATTTATATTATAATGAGATCTTGTTCCAAAATTAAACGAGTCATTTCTGCGAGGCTTATTATTGGTGTCTGAAAACACTGATTGGATAAGAACAAGATGCTCTTCCACGATCTCGGGGAAAATCTTCCTAGATTCTCTCTCCTTCCTTACGTAACTGAACCAAGTAATCTGCTCTGGCAAAAAAAAAAAAAAAAAAAAGGAACCAAGGAATCTGCGAAAGGGGTCAGGAATTACCGAGCCGTGCTTCTTATTTTGCTCATCCATCCAAAATGGAACATGAGTGCGCAGACTTTCTGTGAGTCGTTTGAAGCTTCCCAAAAAAAAAAAAAAAATAACGCGCGGCCCGCTCGAAAAGAACCTTAAATCTCACGCGTCAGTTCCTCTTGGTCTTTTTTGTTTCTCTCCCTTTTACCCGTCTCTGTTACAACTCTCGTCGCTTTCTTTCCGCCATTTGTTGAATGGGAAACAAGAGCGAAGACGCAGAGAAGCTGATGCTGTTTGATGGGCTATTGGAGGCTATGCCCCTTTTCGCCAAGGAGCTTGTTGCCGGAGGTGTTGCCGGTGGCTTCGCCAAGACCGTCGTTGCTCCCCTCGATCGGGTCAAAATTCTCTTTCAGGTATTTCATTCATCTTCCCACTTGCCATTTTTCTAATCCTCAACTACTGTGTTCTGGATGAAATTCAGGCTCATATGGTTCCTCAATTGCAGTTTATTGGCTTGTGTGCTTTGACATTTGTTGGCTGTTTTCTGTTATAGCCTCTGCTAGAGTTATTAGCCATTATTTAGGAATTTAGTGGGGAAGTGGGTTTTGCAGAAAATGGAATATGTCAGACTTCTCCTGCAAATTAAATGCCAATGGTTTGTCTGGAGGCATATTCCTTGGTAAGATTACCAGGCACATATGAGGAATGCCTTCTTCAGATTACTTTGAAGAGAGAATTTAACTCCAAAGAACTTTGAGGTGTACCTGACTGGAAAAACAAATAGACGGCGATGTCTTGCTTTGTATAAGATTTGGATGCCGTAGTGCCAAGCATTGGTTTGATTATATCATTCTTTGTCTAGCCTGCGGAGTTTTTCCGATTTATTAATTCCCGCATTCACTCATGGAAGGGAGAAGTTACGAATGTCCTGTTTAATTCAAAATCTAACACAATTTATGCTATCTGGCTGGTTGATACTGCTGTTGAACACGTTTATACCAAACAAGTGACTTTGGTGGGTCAATGAGTTCTTTTCTTTTCGTATTCACTTGTGGCAATGGCAAGGATATGTACTTTTATTGACTATTACATCACTCTTCCTCGAAGCATTGCGCTGGTTGAGGTTTAATATTTTTCTGTTTGGGTTAAGAAAAAATTTTCCCCATGCAATTTCAGCACGAACGCCAGAAACCGTGACAATTGTTACCCATGTTAACTAGCCCCTTCATTCCTGAATTTCTCAATAATATATCAGCAGTAGTTAGAACGTCTAAATCAATCAAGTTCAATTAAGGGGGCAGCTACAACTGTAGCAATGACAAATTCAGTTCAATGAATCCCCGAGCTTTTTTCGTTCATTTTTTTTTTTATTTTGATCAGCAAACAGTAATTCCAGATCTACTAGTGAAGATTTTGCTAGGTTTTTGAAATCATGTAATGAATAATTAGTCTTAGTTTTCTCCTTTGATTACATGCAGTTAACTAATATGTGCTCAGTTTGATTACAGAAATAAGTTTGAGAACCATCCTATGCTTGTTTGATAATCCATTACATCAGCGACCTTAAAAATCACTCATTCTCTCTCTTGTAATTTGCACTATTATGATTCCTTGCAGACACGAGGAGCTGAATTCCAGAGAACAGGGCTTTATGGATCAGCGAGAAGGATTGCTACAACAGAAGGCTTTTTGGGATTCTACAGGTGAATGAATGATGAATTCTGAATCCATTAATGTCTGCGCTGCCTTGATTGTGTGACTAAACCTCTCGGGCCAAATTATGTACAGAGGAAACGGAGCAAGTATTGCAAGGATTATTCCTTACGCAGCCCTTCATTACATGTCCTACGAGCAATACCGCAGATGGATAATGCACTCTTTCCCTGACGTCTGGAAAGGCCCTACCCTTGACCTTGTGGCAGGCTCATTATCTGGAGGCACAGCCGTACTTTTTACTTATCCCCTTGACTTAATTCGGACCAAGTTAGCTTATCAGGTTAGTATCTTGTGTCTTTGATTGCTACTGTGAAGTTTTCAAGAAATAAAATCACAAGGGGAAATTGTTTTATGCTTTTGAAAGAGTTAATCAGGTGGTTCTGACTTGAAATCTGACACCATTTTTCCCCTTATAAAAGTGTAAACTTAAGAGTTATCTGAACTGCAGGTTGTAAGTACAACAAAGCTCAACGCTACAAGGATGGTTGATAATGAACAAGTTTACAGAGGGATCCTAGATTGTTTGGCTAAAACTTACAAAGCAGGTGGCATTAGAGGTCTCTACCGTGGAGTGGGTATGCCTATAAAATCTGCTCATACTACTAGTACCAGTATGATTGTGTTTAAATGTTGGGTTCACATTGCGGAAATTTTTGCATTCAAATGGCAACAGCTCCATCATTGGTTGGGATATTCCCATATGCGGGTTTAAAATTCTACTTCTATGAGGAAATGAAACGCCATGTCCCTGAGAAGCACAAACAAACCGTTGTGGCCAAACTTACGTGTGGATCCGTAGCCGGTTTATTGGGACAGACCTTCACATATCCTCTCGAAGTTGTTCGGAGGCAAATGCAGGTAGTTCATTTCATTTATTTCTTCAGATAAATGGTTTGTGGATATCACATAGCATGATACAGTATGAACAACCATACCTGGCTAGGTTCAAAAACTTGGGGCATCTGATAACGTACAATTGAAGGGCACTCTCAAAACCCTTTTTATGATTGCTGAAAACCAAGGTTGGAAGCAGCTATTTTCAGGTCTGAGCATCAACTACATAAAGGTGGGAAAGCTGAAACCTTTTATTTAAGAAACGAACTCTCCGGAAACTTCCTGCTTAGTTATTGCTTGCTTTGTGTGATTCAGGTTGTCCCATCTGTGGCCATAGGATTTACAGTTTATGATATTATGAAATCATGCTTGAGAGTTCCGTCAAGAGAAGAAGCTGCAGTTGAAGTGTTAACCAACAAAAGACTTAGCCAGCCATCCCATCCGTAATAATAATAATAATAGGAATAAAAATTCCCTTCTAAAGAGTCAGAATGGCTTCTAGTCTCATTCTATTTCAAAAATCTCTTGGCTGTACATTGCATTCTTTCGAGGTGGACATCATATACCATCTCCAAGTAGGTCTTACATGTATTCTTGTACTCCCTCCTAGATAATGATTGGTTGGCAGGGCAGATCTCATTGATTACATCATTTCCTAAGAAACCATGTTTCTTGGAAGATTGGACACATATCATGTACACAACAGCGTTCAGATAAATTAGACTTGCAATGTGCAAGAATAATGAAAGGATTAGAAATTTTAAACTGATTATATGCCTCTACTCCATTTGACTTATTACAAGCAGCCACCTGTTTGCTATTACCGTCCTTGTTTCTTCTGGGCGATTCTTATTCTCGACATATGACTAATAAATCTGATTTACCATTATACTAGAGACTGGAGGTACTCATGTAAAGGAAAAACGTCTAGTGTACATCCTTTGTCATGTGTTACATGAAAGTTGGCAAGATTTTCCGCATTATACTGACATTTCTAAGCCACCTCAAAGAATGACAAATCTATATATAAAGAGAAGACATCTGCAAGAACTCTCTACAAATCCAACCTGGTACCAATAAATATTATGCAGCACACGAAATGTTATTGTTGTTAGATGGAAAGTGTGACATACAGCTGGTACCTTATCCAAAAACTTACTGTGACCCCTAGTCCAACAACAACAACAACAACAACAAGCCTTTATCCCACTAGTCCAACGAATAAGGATTTAAATTCTCTGAAGTTGGGATTGGTTATTTTAAGTGAAGTTTTCCTTTTTAAGTATTTTTCATCATTTTATAATGATGTACAAGTTTTGGCAGCACAAAATACAGAAAAGCACTACTGCTGAGGACTGAGTATGTACGACCACACCTGCTTGCTCTAATACAATCGCTACCAATAATCCCCGCAGGAGCACTCGCCATCTTTGAAATGATGGAATCGCTTGTTATCCCTTACGATGAGCTCTCTTCCAACAATCTTTGACATGATTTTTATGGCATTGTGGCAATCACCACAGATACGGAGATTCTTGATAATCCTAAGAGTAGTCCTTGGGGGAGTACTGATGAGACCATAAGCAATAGCCAAACGCTCACTATGATATTGCAAAGCCTTCTCTTTTGCTTCCTCATCAATGTCATGTAGAACATATCTTGTATCAGGAACATAACCTGCTTCCCTTATTTGCCCACTCAAGCCTCTCAATTTCTCATTTGCCTCTCCTCTGTAAGATATGTTATGCCGATATTCAGTGATTTTATTTTTCTCCTCAAGCATGTTGATTGCAGACTGTCTCTTACTTGAAGGCACAGGGAGTTTATTAGAAAAGGCTTTTGCTTTTGAAGGATCAAGATCTACCAACAACTCTTGTGCGTGATCTTCAAGATCTAGATCTCCATGATTTTGTGCCAGGGTTTGAAGAGCCTCCCAAACCTCCACTGTAGGTTCAAATGGCATTTTCTCAATGAACTCCTCGGCTTCTTTCAAATGACCAGCATTGCCCAGAGTGTTAATAACCTCCAAATAATGTTCAATGCCAGGAACAATTTCATACTCATTCTTCATAGATTCAAAATGCATGAACCCTTCTTTCACAGCTTCAGCTCGAGCACATGCAGCCAATACCAATGCAAAGGATTCCCTACTAGGCCTTATTCCTTCCTGCTTCATCTTTGTAAAACACAATAAAGCGTCATCTCCAAGACCATTCTCCGTGTATCCATCAATCAACAAATGCCACGAACTGATATCTCTCTCCCGCATTTTATCAAACACTCTGCGCGCATCGTTCATACTGCCACATTTTGCGTACATTCTTGTCAATCTGTTATTCAACTCCATGTCCGCGCGAAACGGCGAGCGTCTGAGGAACTCGTGAACCCTTTTTCCTGACTCAAGCGATTTGGTATTCTCACATAAATTCAACAGCGCAAGAAGAACAGCATAATCAGCAACGGCAGCACCTTGAGCCATAAAATCTAACACTTGATCGAGCTTACCCTCTTCGCACAACCGCATCAAATCGACATTGACGGGGCTTGCAGCCAATAGGACGTTGTCATTTTGCTGCTTTATTTGGTCACCGTTCAAATTGTTCTCATTGCTCCGGAGAGGCGGGGTCTTGTAAGGGGAGCGAGTGTTAGAGACATTTCGTCGGCTAATAAGCTTGTTGGTGTTGGTGGTCGAAGAAGACGAAGATGGGGTTGCGAGGGCGAGAAAGTAAGGATATTTCATTGGGATTCCAGATTTTAAGTGGGAAGAGAGTGCATTGCTTCCAGGGGGCGGAAAGGAGGCCAGCGAAGCCATTGATACGTGAATTCGAAGGCCGGCGCCTATAGGTGGTTAACACTACCTCGAAGAAGACTCAGAGATCGATATGGTATCATTCGACAGCGAAACGAAGTTGGAGAAGTTTCATTCTAAGGATGGCCAGAAATATCTCCTGCGGATGAGGGCTGTGTTCAGATTCTTCTGGGAAGATAGGCAATCTTTGCCTTATGTTTTAGCCGCAGCCTAGGTGTTTTCTTGTTTGTACTAGTTTCTTTTTTCGTTTTCTGTTTTTCTCAAGCCGATGCTTGCCTATGTATTGAAGGCATTTATAACTGATAAAGCATACTCCTCTCATTTTTAAATATAAAAAAAAATTATGTCTAAAATTAAAAATATTAGATTAAATTATTCCTATAATTAATTAAATGAATTTATCTAGTAAAAATAAGTATTAACTTTGTGGGGGACAATTTAAAACAAATGTAATAAATATTTCTTAAAATTTATAGTTTTACTTATAAATAAAAATAAAAGACTCATGATAGTATTTTTTATACTTGAAAATGAAGAGAGTATATACAAAGAGCTACACTATTTATGACTTGTAATTGTAAATATTTTTGTACAAAATACTATAAGGTCCCATACGGTCTAGTTAAAAGTTAAAACTACCAAATAGTATGTTGTATTATTTTTAAATATGAGTTCTCAAACTAATTTGCAAACCCATGCCTTACACAAAAGCCTCAATCTTGTGGTTCATATTTTAAAAATAATGCGATTTGCTTTGATTTAATTCAAAGTTAATACAAGAAGCATATAACTACTTGTTTCTATTTGAAAAGCGAATCAACTAAGGAATCAAAGTATTAGGAGTGTCAAAAATGCTGAGTTTCAAATAAAATGGGTTTTTGAGTTCCCTTACCTCAGTTCACTTGGATGTAGAGATGCCAGTTGAGATAGAATGGAACAAGTCTAATTAAATAGTATGCAAAAGCAAGAAATTACAATGGGTAAATTGATAAGATAAACAAACGGAAAGGTAAACTAAGGCAAAAGACTAATGATTGATAGAGCTCTTGAGAATTTTAAGGTGTTTTTGCATGTCCCCTTTTCTTTGTTGCTGTTCTCTTATTTATAGTGCGTGTAGGCTGTGTTGTTTGTTTGTAATTGCCAACCCATGTTCCTAAAAAATTCACGAGTGAAGGTCAGAATCTTGCGAGATTCATGGCTCGCTTAGATCATGATTTTGTTTAAGGCAATGGTCCAAATAATACTTTTGAGTCTTAAGGGATTCAAGAACCTGTGCTTATTTAGTGAAGCCATTTTACCATGATGTGGACTAGACTTGTTGTTATTGGATCCCTTATTGAGCTTGATGCTTTACTCACTTGGCTCAATTCTTGCTATAGCCATTGTGACCTTTTGAATAGGTATTATCTCAGTTTTAGCTCAAGCAATACCCCCTGCGTACTAGTGGTTGGTAACTGTAAGCCACGTGGCACATTTGAATGAGAATCAATATGTCATTTCATTCACTCAAGCCTCTTGGGACTATAAACCTCTCTGTCATCAATCATCCCTTCAACTTTTTCATGCTCCTAATTTTCCTTGCCTTTCAAGCTTCTTTACCCTGTCTTCTTGTTCTTCCTCTATTTCTTTTCAACAATGGCCTCCCCTATTAATGCTACCCAAAATGCCTCCCCTATTCTTCTTGATCTTTCTATTTTCTTTTTCTTGCTTTTAAGTTATTTCTTTTTTGAACTAGGTCTCTTTTGCTTAACAGGAGCCTCCGACTTCTCTTAGACTTCCCGCTTCCCTTCATTTTCAGTAAGTATTTCCTTCCTTTGTTCTCTTTGTTTTCCTCATTCCCCTTAATCTTTAAAAATTTTCCATTGGCCTATAGTGCTCCTCCAAATAGCTTCACCCTAGCTGTGGTGACTAACGTCATCCACCTATCCATAGCTTTGGAGGGTGTAAAACCATCAAACCCTACAATCCCCAACCTATGGCCAGTTTCCTCTATTAAGGAGTTATTGTTAGCCTGGGAGATCGTCTCTTTCAAGGAGACTTCTTATAGAAAGCTTCACAACTGGTCCTGATTTCCTTCTTTCTGGACCACATAGGTAAAATGTTTCTAACCCATTTATGAGGATCATTGGAAGGAGGTGGGTCTGTATGACCTAATTCAACTATCTTTAGTCAATATTGATGTCCTTATCTAACTCCTTGAGTCTCTCCTCTACTTCTGGTCCCCAGGTTGTAATACTTTTATTTTTAAATTGAGCCTTATGATCGTCACTCTGCTTGATGTTTCTATGTTCTTAGGGATCCCTATTATAGGCAAAGCAAATTTTTATAAAATTCCTTTTGATGATTCGGCCTATGCATCTTTAAGCGCCAAGGTAGAAGTGACGATCAAGAATGCTAGTTCATACACTTCTCTCATCGCCAAGTATACAAATCGTCCCTTTACCCAGGCCGTCATAGGTAAGAGCAATTAGTCTTCCTATAGGTGCTATTAAGTCAGCGAATTTTTTCACCGAGTATAGGCAAGCCCATGACTCAACACCTCCCTTTAATTAAGCATCTTAACTGCAAGTAGCCTTAGGTACTATGATTTTATGCCGCTTGTATGATAGGATGAGGGAGTTTGTAAAAAAAAAAAAACCGTTCAACAATTTCCATGAGCCCATATGGTTTTTGAAGTTATAGGCCATGGCTTACTTCCCAGAGCTCTCTGTGACTCCTTTCCCCTTAGACCTTGAGAAGGAAGTTTCCTATACCTTGCCTCTTGCCCGCCATCCCCTACGGCAATTCGATTTCTTTAAATTCTTTTGCTAGCAAAAGTGGGAGTTGAACTGCAAGTTGAGTGTGTTACCGATCTGTGATCATCGTCTCCCTGAGTGGTTTAAGTTCAACTTGTCCAAAAGGTTTAAGACCAACATATGGGGTGGCATTTTTATTTTGACCACTGCCCCTAAGAAGATGTGACTACCTATGACTATTGGTGCTAGCAAGGCTTTAATAAAGAACTATCATGCTTAGCTAGTGGCGGGCCAATTTGGTCTTAGCTAATGCATCCCTTACTGTCTAACTCTAAAGTTCAAGTTGGAGACCATAGAGAAGGACGGTATCCTACCATAGCTCTTTTATGTGGAGTGAAAACACCTTGTAAGGTGGAGTTGGTACCCTGGGATGCCTATCTGTGTTTTAATAAGTGGTGGCCTCAACGTTTTAAACATATCTTAAGGACCCATACTGTTAAGCTATTTCAATTTTGTTTTAACTATTTTTTACTTTTAAAGCTATGTCTAATTTTAACAAATGTTCTTTTATTTTGGCAGAGTGTAATTGGACTTAGCTACCTTGATTGCTTACCTCCTTGATGGGTAACCTGAACGCCCCCATGCCTTTTGAAACCTTTACTACTAAATCTCTATTCATGGTGTTAGTAAAGGTAGATGAAGAAGTTGCCTCCCAAATTGTTGTCATTGCTGAGGCAGCAAGAAACTAAGGTCTAAGAGGAAACTTATGGGGGACATAGCTTGAGAGAAGAAGAAGAGCAAGAAAACTAAATTTTCTCCTCTTAGGGTTGTTTTTGACTCAGTAGTTGCAACTACAACTCTTAGGATTGTTTTTAACTTGACGTCAGCAACTCTAACTCCTAATACTGTAACTCAGTCAAGGCACCATCGACATGGCATCTTCTTGGCTAGCTTTCATGAAGAAGAGGATGATGATGTGAGGATGCCTAATCCGCTTCCTCTTTCAAGTGAAAGATTAGTGGTTCTAGAGCCCTTAGAAGACCCTCTAGCCCTTTTAATGGTAGAATCTACTCTTATTACTTCAGAGATTAGCTTAGGTTTGGGTCACAATATAGACGCCATTCCTTTTGATCCTATACCAGTGGATTCTCTATCCTTATAATGCCATGGCTCAGGTAGTAACTACTAGCAGTAGGATTGGGAGTTTTCCTTTCGAGTGAATCATCTTCACTCTTTACGGGCTAGGGTGGCTGACCTAAGACAGCAACCGGCTGTTATTGAAGAGGAATTGGCACAGGTTGAAAAAGGTGCTATGGAGTCCAAGCTTTATAATCCTGAGAAGGAGCTAAAGGCTTTACAGGTCAAATCTAAATGAAAGTTTCAATCAGTAATCTAGTTAAATACGGCCTTAGTTTAACATCAATCATTAACCATTAAACTGGAGGTAACTTTGGAGGTGTGGGACACGATCTAATCCTAGGTCCCAGAGTAACTAGTTTTTTTATGTATTGTGCACCATGACGTAACAATTACTATGAATATACATGTTTATTTATCAGATGGTTTTTGTTTATTTGTGTACCCGAAGGCTGCTCTAGGCCTTAGATCTTTCAAGTTTACTTTCTTTGCTTGAGGCCGCTCTAAACCTTAGGTCCTTATGATCTCTCTTGCGACGGCTAATACTTGTTTAAGTATTTTTTATTTATGGTTTGTGAGTATGGTTTCCCATCAAGGCTGGCAAACCAATATTTGTTCTTTTCTAAAACTTGGTGTACCTTGAACGATCTTTCCCAATTAAGAGAGAACTTCCCTAGTGCAGTCCTTAGTTCCAAGAGGTAGGACTAGTTTCCACATAAGCTTGTCAGATTGGAATTTCTTTCTTTGAATCCTTTTGCTATAGATTCTTGAAATCTTCCTCTTCTAAGTGATCATAAGGTTTAGTGCTTGAAGTAATATTTCATCTAACTAGATTAACTTATTTGTTATCACCTTATTGTATTCTTCAAGGCTAAGATTTAGGCTTCTAGAGAGATCCTTAGGGAAGGCACTGCTATCTTAAGAGGTAGCATGGCCTTTTGCCTGTGGCTTCTCTTTTAGAGGTTCTATATGCCTATAATGTTTTTGGGAGCTTTTCATTCTATTCTATAGGGTTATCTTCAATTATTTTCTTTAGGATGCTTAGGATGACTTTGTTAGATGCCTCTACTTGCCCATTTGCTTGTGCATAATAGGGTAATGATGTGAATAGTTTGATCCCACTCTCTTTAGCAAACATCTTGTAGGTGTTTCCCGTGAACATTGTGCCTTAGTTAGTTGTAATAATCTATGGAATCCTAAACCTAAACACAATTCTTTCTCCAATAAAGTTTACAGCGTCGTCCTGTTCTACCTTTTTATTGGGGGCTTCCTCTTCTTATTTGGTGAAATAGTCCATAACTACTAGGATGAATGAATGAACCTTGGAAAAGGCTAGGCAGATGTTTCTTATAATATCTATCACCCATCCCCTGAAAGGCCATGGCTTGATTATTGGGTTTATGTAT